AAGGCGCAACGGACGCCACGATATATTTTTGAAGAGCCTGCTGTTGAAAAAAAAAAAACACATGCAACGCATGCCCTAGCAACTGCAGCAACTGCAACCCCAACCAGCTAGCTAGAGTGTTTTCGTGCTGTCTATCTACTTCTGTCTTTCTTTTGTCATGCTGCGCATTTTAAGTTGGACTTACGGCTAACCCTGTGCGTACCCCTCGTATCTGCAAGTGTAACGTTGGTGACGACGGCAGGCATTTTCTTCGGTCAGGACAGCGCAGGTGTTTCACGATACTCTATGGATTGTGGATTCTCCATAATATGCAGATATTCGTGCCCGTCTTGTTTAGACTCTGCCATGATCGTGTACACTCAGGCTTGCGCCCGTCACAAAAGGTAGAGATAGCTTACTGGCTCTAGACCCCTCACCAGCTGGACCTTGGTATTCTTCTCTACTTCGTCCTCCGAGCCACTCTCAGCAGTGCCGGCTCCGGAGTCCCGCAGGGCTTTACCGTCGCTCTTGCTCTGGTCGTCAACGATCTTGTCGTAGCGCGACTTGCAATTTTTGGACGTCTTATCCTTGAACATCCTGACCAAGGGCTCCTGGTTGAGAGTCTTCCAGCAGGTGTCCCACCTTTCGCCAACCGAACGCCCGCTCCCATTCACTTTCCACACTTCGTTCTGCAGACCTGTAGAGGACAAGGGTGGGAGCGCCTTTGAATGTCGTAGTGGGGACTTGCTTCGGCTCCATTTTTTACACCCGATACATGTGCGTTGTGAGTAGAGGAGGGAGCATAGGTCTCGCCACTAAACGAGTCCGTGAACACCGGCTGTCTTGCAGCGCACGGAATGGCTATTGCGCAGAGTGTCAACTGCACCGGGTCCGCGGTGCTTCGCAGTAGTTGTTTCGACATTCTTTCGGGCAGACTGCATCTACTGTGGCTACAGCGGGATGCAGGATAAGTAACGCTGCGGGTAACCCCTTTTAACATGATGCAACATGATGTGCCACGGGTAGACTGCATCTCCTGTGGGACGCAGCAGCGGATCCGCGCCCATAATAGTCCGGCTATGTGCCGTTGTGTAGCGAAAAAATACTACATAGTCGAGTACACCTTGCGCTTAAATTTTTGTGCGCACCTTTGTCCTGCTGGTCCCATCTAAAGGCGACATGTGACATTCTTTGCAAGTAGACTGCATCTACTGGGAGATGCAGCAGCTTCGTACGCCCAAAAAACTCGTCGCTGCTTTTAAATTTTACACATGATGCCACATGTGACGTGCATTTTTGCCACGTCGGAACCAGTGCAAGAAAGTCTCACCTTCTTCGCCAAGCAAGACTTGTATCTCCCCTACGAACACCGAATATAGCTTTCTTTATGTTCCTACCCTACTCCGCTGCTATTCGATTGAATCTTTGGTATATGTTGCGCACTCGTTGCACCCTCGTTGCCAAGGATCAACAATCAGTCTGGGTCGGAGTGTCTGTCTCTTTTACAGTTCAAAAACAGCGTGCATGTGTGCGCGCGCACATGGGTCGCTCCCTCAACCCCAGAAAGGAAACAACTAACTCCAGCACAGGAAATCGCACCAGTACGGAGACAGCAAGTACGTATACCACTGCTGTGGCCGACTGCTCCTGCAGTGCTGTGTCGCGTTCGGAGCGTGTGGGGGTGGGGTTTGGGGAGGGAACACATCCAAGCCAACAAACGCCTCTCTCTAGAAAAACAGAGCATACCCTTGCGCGGGGAAAGACTCACCCGCCCTTGCCAGCGCCAAGTCGTAAGTAGGAGGCCACTTCGTGCTCTTCCTAACCCTAGCCTGCTTTGCTGCTGGTGCTGCCAAGACTTGGACATCGTCGCCGCCTCCCCCGGCCGCTTGCTCCTCTCCTCCCCGTGCCTCGAGGTCTCGGGCGTGCTGCTGGCCTAGAGCCGCAAAGCCCACCCGACCGGCTGCCCGTGCCGCCTCCCTCTTGGCAACCTCGTCGCGCGCCAGATCCAGGGCCTTTGCGCTGGGCATTGTCTTTCTCTTTGGGCGGGAGCTGGACATGTTCGTAGCAGACTGCTACCTGTGTGTGCGTGTGGGTCTGGTGTGGTGGTGGTGGCTGGTGTGGGTGTGTTGTTTCGAAGAAAGTTGCTTAAATTGTTTTCTTGGCAACATTTTCCACAAAACGAGCCTCGCTCGGCTCTAAAATCTAAATATTTTTTCCTTATTTTGGGTTCTGGCGAGACTGTCAGGGAACGATCCTGGGAACGATGGCTTATCTCAAAATATATTTCCTTATTTCAGCTTTTTTTGGGGTCCGAAACTGTCAAGTAAGGAAAGAAAAAATGAAATAATTAGACTAGCGTCTGCCCCACTGGCCCCTATCCTCCATTACTACTAGGGCGCCTTCCGGCATATATATATGTGTGGTACGAAGTAGGCTCGTTTCAGGGGCTGCTTGGGCCTTGTCCACGTTTTATTGCGTGTTGGCGTTAAGATGCGGCGTAATTAGCTATTGTCCGAGATGACGTGTGCGCTTGCATGAAGTTGGCTCTGTGTCAACCCTATGAGTTCAGAGAAGAGAGAGCTAACCGGGCGAGGGCAAAGGTGAAGTGGGCATGTGTTGAGTACCAGTTCGACTGCAGAGATCTAGACAGAGGTTGAGTCCAGCATGTGTGTGCGTGGATAGGATGAACAGCAACACAACTGTCAGTGTTGGTATGCAGCTGTGTCGAGTGCAGCAGCCGCCGAGAGACGAATCAACAACAAGTTTCCTCAACAGCGATTCCATTCCCTTCCTCGACGACATCCGCAAAGACAATCAAGCATCCATAAGAGACAAGAACCTCGAACCTAGCGCAGAACCTTGGTAACGCAGACCCGCACAGGTCTGCATTTGATTGGGTAATTGGGTCATCAACAGAACCCGAATACTAAGTATAACATTGGGGTCGTCGGCGCTTGTTTCTTCCCTGGGTGCGAGATCCGTTTTGTTGTTGGTTGTTTTTGGCTTTTGGTTTGAAGTACCGCTGTAGTCTTTCGCGTCTGCGTCATGGCAATGTGTCCTCGCAATTTGGTTGTTTCCGGCTGCGCGACATGTCGCGTGTCAGCCTGTCGTTCTAGTAGGCCTTTTTCCTTGGGCACGCCCATCTCCCGTCTTTCTTCTCCCTCGCCTACCGAAACTCCTGGGATTGGCCCGTCCGGGTCGTCACGGGGGATTTACCTATCTTGCCGGTTGCAGTACGACTCTTCGCCACGTGCGTCGTCTCCACGCGGTCACCCCGCTGGTGCACAGCTCGGTGCTGCCGCCGCATGTTAGAAAGGCTTACCCCATTAGACTTCAGTCAGCGCTGACTGAGTAGTCTAATGGGGTAAGCCTTTTGCTGACTGAGTAGTCTAATGAGGTAGGCCTTTCTAACAAAAGATAAACTCTCGGCTCGTAGCCACCCGGCTGGTCACTGGGATTTTTGGAAGTAGGGATCTCCGGGGACGGACCCCTCGCCAGGCGCTGCAGGAAAAGAACTATGGGTGCTTGTACAAGTGACCAGCCGGGTACCCGTGCGTGAGACTTGTGTCGCCAATTGGTAAACAATTTGTCTAGTCAGCGCTGACTGTGTAGTCCAATGGGGTAACCCTTTACTAGCACGTGATACACGCACGGGTTCGAATTCCAGCTGGTCACTTTCACAAGCACCCTTAGTTCTTTTCCTGCAGCGCCTGACGAGGGGTCCGTCCCCGGAGATCCCTACTTCCAAAAAATCCCAGTGACCAGCCGGGTGGCTACGAGCCGAGAGTATATCTTTTGTTAGAAAGGCTTAGACTACCCCATTAGACTACTCAGTCAGCGCTGACTGAGTAGTCTAATGGGGTAAGCCTTCCTAACACCGCAGCCCGTCCTGCTGCCGTGCGCCGTGCCCGCGAGGAGATTGATACCGCCCTCTCCATACGAGGACGTGTATCCGCCGGCGTTCGGGCCGTTCCGCGATCCGATACCAAGATGGTATAGGTGAGACACCCTTCTTACTCTGGAAAATAGGAAGTCGACACGAGAGTTTCCGCCTCTTGGTGACGGAATCGTCGGAACCTTACAGTGGTGGGGACGGGCGGAAACCGTCGCTACCGCCGTCTGACACTTGTGGTGATTTCCGACCTTTTTAGTGCTGAGCGGGGCGAGGAGCCGTCCACTGTAGTTCCCCACCTCCTTTGTCGGATAGTAATAAGGCGCCGACTAACAACGATGCCCGAAAAACTACCAGTTAGTGTAGCACCGAAACCCGAACCGACCCCGAAACCCGAACCGAAGCCGATTGACCGAGTGCACAGTACGAGGTTGAGTGTAACTAACTTAGCCGAACAGGTGTTATATCCTGGGGCTGTGGGCGGTAGAGAAGAGGGGGCTGACCGCTTGATCCGTGGTGCAACAGCTCGCCCTTTTGAGAAGACGCCTGCAGCTCGAAACCGATCCGAAACCCGAACCGAAAGTAGTATAGAAAATCACGGGAAGTTGGCGGCCGTGAGAAAACCGGCGTCCAAGACGACGCCTGCGGTAGTAAGCCCGTTTCCCCGGGGTAGTTACTGTTTAGCGTAGCGAGCATCCAGCGCGTTCCTAGTTCTTGCAGTGACTACCGAAAATCCAAATCCACTCGCGGTAGGTGAAACCTAGCCGCGCGATGGTGGTACCATCCCACCAAATCGGTTGGGTGACAACGGAGTGAAAGAAGAGAAGAGTTGTTCCCCGCCGTCGGCTTCCCAGTTGGCCGATGTTGAAGATAGTGACGCAAACGGCGCCGCGCCTGCGATTGCTTGTAACGCTAGCCGCTTGCATCTCTATCGGCTGTCCCCGTTCTCACTGGTCGGACGCGTATATGCCTACTCTTGCCTACGGGGGCGGCGAAATTTAACAACGATGACTGATCCAACAAACACAAATGAAAAACCCGTCGTAGCGCGAGTTCTGCCGTGTGTATTGAGGGTTCGCCCCGTTTTCCTGATTGAAGAAAAACATCCTCCAAGCTCTAGTCGAGCAGTAGCAGGACGCCATCTGTCTGAATTTCTCGCCGAGTGTCAAGGCGTTTCGATTTTTTGTTTGGCAGATTTGTTCTTAAGTGCTGCATGCATTCACAGACCTAGCCCCTTTTTTTCTGTCTCCGCAGACGAAGTGGAAATAGAGCTTGAAGTGCAGCGGGCACAGCCGGTTGCCATCACCGGTCACCGTATCAGTAGAGGTCCAGGGGGTTCCATAGCGGTACAAACGACCCGCGTTGGCGCGGACACCGCCAGCCCGCTTGGGGCTTGGGAATCTTAAGCAAACATCCAGCAGTATGGTAGTTTTGTGCACACGTATTGGGTGGCAGTACATTACGTCAAGTAGGTGCCAACAATGAGTGCACTGTGACTATAGTAAGCTTGCCGCGCTCCGCGCGCAAGCTCGCTCCCGTAATTCCCTTTATGTGCCACCAGGTTACGCGTTCCTGGCTACATAGGGGCGTGGTCCGACCTTCCCGTCGGCGGAGATGAAAGGGGCGCATGTTTACGTGCGGTCGAAGGAGGAGTGCTGGCAGCTGGGGGTGGTGCATCAGGTTTCGAGGGCGCGGGAGGAGGACCTCCCGTGCAACGTCCATTTCGTCGACCTCGAGCGGCGTTTCAATGTGTCGTCGTCGCCGGCAAAATATTGTACGGCGGTGGATGGTCCGCCTAGCCCATGGTGCTTTCTGGTGCACATGCGGTCCGGGAGCGTCCGGCGGAACGGGAGCTGAGGGGTGCGCTGTGGCGGAGGTTTTGTCGTGGTGGACGGGGAGCGCTGCGGTGGAGAATTTTCGTGGCAGAAGAGGCGAGCACGTCGGCGCCTAGGGGATTTTCGTGGTGGTGGGGGGAGCGAGACGGCACCTCGAGGGTTTTTCAAGGTGGAAGGGGAGAGCAACACGGCGCTTCGTACGACTGCCTACGACCTCGTCGGCGCTTCGAGCACCTTCAAACGACCCCGCGGCGCTCTCCGTAACTTCAAACGACCTCGCCGGCGCCCTTCGAATTCTTTTTCTTTGTGGATGTTGTGTGTGTTCCGGATTTTGTTGTCTTTGGTGTTGCCTTCTGATGCCGATGATGTTTTATTCCGGTGTGGTGTGTCGGTTGTTGCTGTTTGGCTCTAGGGTCTTGGTAGCGACGTGCCATCCTTCTTCGGGAGGATGAGGGGGAGAGGCACAGGCCATACAAAATTAGCCTGCGTTCAGTAGAAACTTGGGAGTTTTTGCCGAAAAAATGGTGGGCTGCCCCGCCTCATGGAAGTTCGATTTATATTTTTGGTTGGTTTGTTGGTGCCTTGGTCATTGCGGGTGCGAAGTCCGGGAGTGTTTGAGTCCTCGAAGGGAATGTCGTCGTGCTTTACTTCTAGGTTAGGGAGTCAATGTTTCGTTGTGGTTCCACCGATTTTGTGCAGGAAGCTTTCGAAGCTCTTTTTCAACACGATGATATCGTTCTCATGGTGGTCATCCTGCGGTGAAGTTTGGGGTTCCAGGGTAGGCAATACAGCAAGGTTCGTTGACTTTTCTTTTTCCCCTAAGTCCGTCACAGGTCTGCTCTCCTGTGATAAATTTTCCGCAAGGAAGGTGAAGCTGAAAATGTGCTGTGTCTATGTCAAAGTGCTGTTATCCTTGTCAAGTGCTGTGTCTATGTTTGTCCTTGTCAATGTGCTGTGTATATGTGAAAATTCAGCTTCAGCCTTGCGTCGGGAGAGTGCGCGTATATCAGACACGCGTGGGGAGGAAATTGGCCAAAGGATCGTTGATGTGTCTCGGGTGGATTTCATAGCTTCATAAAGCTGGGGTGTGAGTCACAAAACAACGCGAAGCGATTGATTTTGTTGTTGGGATTCCTTTTGGGGGTCGGCGTGCACCGTCCGGTAGCGCCAACTTCAACAGTCAAATGTCCGATTGAGGGGGTCACAGGTGTTCGTTGCCGCCTTTCTCAGGGGTTAGTACGACGTCTTTCTCCGGGGACAACAATGCTTTCGTTCAGTAGCATTCGTAGTGATCAGGTATTGGCAAGTCAGGTAACGGTTGTTTGGCCGGGATTTCTTGGGGTTGGTGCCGGTTGTCGTTTCCAAAACACGGCAGCGCGGCAAGGGGTAAAACGGATTCTTGACGGCAGACGGTAGGATGAAGAATTTTCTTGGGATTCGTGTATGGTGGTTTGTGTGGGGGTACTTGGGCCCGAAGGGATGAAATGCCGAGGGCTTGTGTCGTGAGTGTAAACAAGTTCCCGCTTAGAATGGAGCGAATTCCATGGGGTTTTGAATATTGCTGTCTTGCCACGGCGGTCGAGACGGATAAATGTTGATGTTTGGAATTTTGTTGAAGGTTAAGAGCTGATGCAATCGACACTGTACCAGTTTCAGTACAGAAATAGCTCTGGAAGTCGGTTTCTCTTGAGGTATTCATGTTGTTTTTGGATTGCTTTTTGGAGATATCAGAATATTTCCCAATATGCCAAAAAGCAGTGTGGGGGAATGTGGTACGAAGTAGGCTCGTTTCAGGGGCTGTTTGGACCTTGTCCACGTTTTATGGCGTGTTGGCGTTAAGATGCGGCGTAATTAGCTGTTGTCCGAGATGACTTGTGTGTTTGCATGAAGTTGGCTCTGTGTCAACTTCATGAGTTCAGAGAAGAGAGAGCTAACCAGGCAAGGGCAAAGGTGACGTGGGCATGTGTTGAGTACCAGTTCGACTGCAGAGATCTAGACAGAGGTTGAGTCCAGCATGTGTGTGCGTGGATAGGTTGAACAGCAAGCAGGGTTGGTATGCAGCTGTGTCGAGTGCAGCAGCCGCCGAGGGACGAATCAACAACAGTTTCCTCAACAGCTATCTGTCCATTCCCTTCCTCGACCACATCCGCGAAGAAAATCAAGCATCCATAAGCGACAAGAACCTCGAACCTAGCGCAGAACCTTGGGCTCCTTCCTCGCAAGAGTGTCTAACTCCGTATCTCGTCGAGTTTCCGTCGGTATGAAAAAAAATAACCGGTTCTAGGTCCGTTTCCGACAGAAGAATCCATTTCCGGCATGGACAAAAATATATACTCCATACTTTATCGCGCCACTTTTGGACGAAATAAATACGGCGGGATTCAATTCACAGGGAAGATCAACTCGGAGCGACTCGTCCACCCCGCTAATCGACTCGGCTTGGTCGAATTCCCCATAAAGGAACTCTTTGCAGGGTCTCCCAACCCCACCTCGACGAGATACTGCTCATTCCCTTTCCGTCGCCTGGACGGTGGCGGCTGCTGCCACCATGCTGAGGAGCGATATCAAGATTGCGGGAGAAACGAGGGTCATCAAGCACAGATGGCGCACGCACGCCAGGGGCTATCAGCTGACCTCCACGCTGCTGAAGAAGGGCACTGAGACTGCGGCTACCAAGGCAATAGGCTCTGTGGTGGATGACCTCGAGGGCGTTGTACATATGGCCCGAGAGCATGTTGATGACCTCCGAGAACGGGCTACTAAACGTCGCAAGAAGAAACCGGAAGGAGCCGCCACCAGATCTGCTGCCGCTGCTGCGGTGGCTGCTTCTGCTGCCGAACGAGGTCCAAGGTTAGGAGCCGATGCACGTCTCGCTCGCTCCGATCCGCTTGAGGCGCTTCTTTTCAGCGGACCGAGGAGAAGCCCACAACCCACGACGACTCCTCCACGACAACGGCAAACGGTGAGTTCAGAGCGGTGTACGGCAAGAGATAGGGTGATATCTTGCGTATTTCTCAAATGTTTGAATTTCCCTGTAGGCTACACCACTGTATTTCCGGTATATTTCCCCTGCTCTCCCATCTTCCCACGAAACCATCCTCACATTTCCCCCCTCTCTCGTCAAAACTGCTCCATTGTTGACATCATCAAACAGGCTATCGACCGGCACCGCGACGGGGTGAAGCAGATCGTGTTAGAGGATGATGTGTTGAAGGAGGAGCTGAGGGAGTTACTGTGTGTCGGAGAACTTGGAGAGGCAGCGGCGACGAAGGCTGCTGTCGATGCGGAGAACATTCGCGCACTGGTCGCCTCTATAGAGACGCTGAAGCTACACTCCCACAGCAACATCGGCCGCGCTGCCTACAACACCGTCATTGCCGCAGCTGCTGGAGCGGAGCACACGTGCGATCCTGATGACCCTTGCACCCCGGATGAGCCGTGCGCACCTGCTGAGCCGCATGGTGCCGTCAGCCTTGCCGCGCGAGCACAGGGTCTCGGTGTGAGAGACGGCACGTTCCGTGCAGCGCGTACCCGGATGCACAGAACTGACCACACCATACCTCCACAGGAAGCTTTGGAGAAGGGGAGATACCTCTGGGCTCCTCGCAAGGAAAGGAGCGACAAGATGGACGAACGTGTCATGGATTTGGCGAGGAGGTTCTGGCACTCTGACGATATTCTCGTGCGTCGGGAGACTCCGGTAAGCGCTGTCAAATTTTGTTGTTGTACAATTGTCGATGTGACGTATCAACTACACTTCTTTGTACCCCTTTAGATAGCTTCACTATTGCTGCTACACTGCACACTGCTGTTCTTTCGTACAC